GCATCAAAGTGGTATCATCTGCAGATCTAAGGTTGTTAATGTTTCTTCCAGCAATTTTAACTCCAGCCTTGGGTTCGTCACATGAAATGTTCTGCATACAAATTGAATTGGTAGGGTGAGAGTATACAGTCCTGCTATACTCCTTTCCCAATCTTGAACCAGTTGGTTGTTCCATGGTCTGTTCTTACTGTGGCTGTATATATATTATATATATATATATATATATGCCATCCCCTGTCACTCGTTGTTGTGGCTCAGTCTGTGTATATGTGTTTTGTGTGTGTGTGTGTATTTGTGTATATGTGTGTTTGCATATATATATGTGGTTTTGTGCATGCATTGTAATATAATTTTTGTTTTTGGGCTTTTTAAGTCTCTTCTGCTGTGTTTTCCAGTGTTTTTTGAGTCTTGTTAATCCCACAAACAAACATTACATATATATATATATATATATATATATTCAGAAAAAATATTTTCTTAAAACTAATGAACAAAGGGACATAAAATGTTTTGCAGCCACTGATATGTCTAATTATATTTAAGATTTCAGGTGTCAGAGAACTCTTAAAATACACCTAATATTTGGGGCAGAGAAAACTATTTATTTTGATTGCCTCCATAAGGGATTTTCCAGAGATTCATTTTAATGGGATGGATCATATAGCCATCTATTTGTATTTATTCAGATAAATTTAGCATGTAAACTAGGAGAATTTAGTTTCTGTTGAATAGCTATATCTTTCATCTCTTAGATTTCATTAATTTATCTCTGTGGTGAATATGCATGATGTATTGTTAATAATTCATGCAAATTGTCATTCAAAATTTGCAACTGAAAAGATAATGAAATGTCTACATTGAACCTTATTTAACAAAACTGATATTAAGCATCTTTTAAAACATTTAGGACTAGGAGGAGTGCTAGACGATGTTTCTCTGAGCTACAATCTAGTAAAGATTTGCTAAATGGTGCATTTAGTACTTTCCAAAATCTTTTATTGTATTGCGTTGTTATTGTTGTTGTTGATTAACAAACTTAAAGAGAACTTGTGGGACTTCACCATCCCTATGTGTGCCCTAAACTAGGAAATATGTAAGGATCACGAATACCAAAGAGTTGCAATTGTGTAATTAAGGGTGATGCAGTTGCTATCTCTGGAAGCACATTCTAGCCATCTTCATGCAAAGAGCAAAAAGCAAACAATACTTCCCTAGTTTATCATATGAAATTTAGAATTAACTATACCCTAAAATATTGCATACTGAATGTTTCATCTGTAACATCTTTTGTACTAATAGTCTGCATTTTCCTACTGGTTGTTTACTAACAGTGAACCTGATTTACTATGTAGTGGAGACAGAATTTTAATCAAAAGTGACTAGACTTTTTGCCCATCTGGTGACTACTTGAACACATGCTCTAAAGCATCTGTAATGTATCAAAGCTAAGCCATTAAAAATTAAACACAGAAAACAGTTCACTGTTAAAAAGCAATAACAACCATATGTATTCTTTCTTTTAATTTTTTTATAATCAAAATCAAGTTTGACAAAACAAACAAAAATTTATTTTCTGATTTTTCCATTACTGTTGTTTACTATTTATGAGGCATATATAGCAGGTACTATTAACTACATAAGTAGCAATCGTATCAGTCTTTACCTTTCTGTAAACAAGCAGAGGATTTTGCTCTAAGTCCCTTGGTTCCTATAGTACAGTTGTTCTCAACCTGTAGGTTCCCAGGTGTTTTGGCCTACAAATCCCAAAAATCCCAGCCAGTTTACCCATTGTTAGGATTTCTTGGAGTTGAAGGCTAAACATCTGGGATCCCATGGGTTGAGAACCACTGCTCTAGTAGCTATACTTTATCTTATATGTGAAATATTATTTATTATTATTTCTCTCCACAAGGAGACTCAAAGTGGCTGATGTTAAAAACATTTCAGTACCATTTAAAATCTACAAATGCACAAACATTTAAGCAGAATTAAATATCATGGGTATCTAAAAATTCAGTTAAAATCAATAAATTCACATTCAAACTAAAAACCAAAGCAACCCCTGAAATCTTAAAAACCATCTTCTTTAAAAGCCTGTCTAAATAAAAAGGTTTTAGCCTGCCGCCATAAAAACAGCAGGGAGGGGGCAATTCTGGCTTCCCTGGGCATGGAGAACTAGAGTCAAGGGGCAGCTACTGAGAAGGCCCGCACTTTCATTCCCACCAACTGAGCTTGAGATAGAGGTGGGACCGAGAGAAGGATCTCTCCTGAAGATCTCAGGGTCCAGGCAGGTTCGTACAAGGAATGCAGTCAGTCAAACAGCCTGAACCTGAGCCAGCTAGGGCTTTAAAGGTCATAACCAGCACTTTGAATTGTGCCCTGAAACAAACTGGCAGCCAGTAGAGCTGCTTCAACAGAGGGGTTGTCCGCTCCCTGCAGCCAGCCCCAGTTCACAACCTGGCTGCAGCTCTGTGAACCATCTGAAGTTTCCAAGCACTCTTCAAAGGGAGCCCCCATGCAGAGTGCATCACAGTAATCCAGATGGGATGTAACTAAGGCATGTGCCACTGTGGTCAGATCCGGCTTCTCAAGGAATGAGCACAGTTGACGCACAAGTTTTAATTGTGCTAAGGCCCTACTGGCCACCACTGATACCTCCAGGCTCCACACTGAGCCCAGGAGAACTCCAATACTGCAGACCTGTATCTTCACACTGGATCCCTATTTCTTGACCTGACTTCTGACTGACCAGGAGCACCTCTGTCTTGTCTGGATTAAGTTTTAGTTTGTTTGACCTCATCCAGTCCATTGCTGATGATAGACACTGCTTTGGGGTCAGGAAAGCTTCCTTGGTTTTAGGTGGGAAGGAGTATTAGGGTTGAGTGTCATCTCCATATAGGAGGCAGCACAGTCCAAAACTCTGGATGATCTCTCCCAGTGGTTTCATGTATTTGTTAAATAGAATGGGGGGGGGGGGGAGACACACAATTGTCTCCTATAGGCAAGTTGGAATTTTGCCCTGTTCCAATGATACATTGATCACCACCTTTACCTCTGCTAGTCCCCCTGTAGCCTCAACCTGTATTTTTGCATCAYGTTAATGACTACAGAATTCCATAAGTGAATTAGACCCAGTCAGTGTGTATGTTATCTTCTTCAATTTATTAGCCATTAGTGATCATTGGGGTAGCAAATGTAGAACCTATAAATCTGAGGTAGCAAAGTGAGACACTGGGGCTACCCTAGATTGTTGTTTTGGTCCTCAGTTCTTTCACACATATCTATTTCTACTAGTTCTCTCATGAAACTCATCACCTGGAAGTCTTCAAGAATAGTAATAAAGCTTTTAAATAGATTTCCAGGTGTTTCTCTTATCAGTGTTATGTAGAAAAATGAATGTTAGACTAGGACGCTGGGTGATTTTGATCCAATTACACATTCTTTCAAGTTCAGAAGATGACAGAGGAGAACCTCTGAACAATTTCTTCCCAAACCTCATGAAAAAGTTACCTTAGGGTAATATTTATGACCTAAGCAGGCTTTCAGATAGTGTTTCCCTCCACTCTTGTCTCTGGGGCTTTGCACTCACTGTGTGGCTTGGTGGCTTCCAGCCTCTGGCCAGCCTTCTGGTTTGTACCTGGCCTAGCAGCAACTCTGAATTTCACTCCAGGGTGACAGGACCTATCACTCCAGTTACTCCCATACCCGGTTGCTTCCCCTGTAGTTTTGCTCATCAAGAATTTTAATAAGGTAGCAATTAATAAAGTTTCCCTCAATTTTTTTCCATATTTTGTGTCTGGTCTTATTATCATGTGGTAGGATAGCTCTTTAGTTATCCAAGACTATTGGCAGTTTGGGATTTAGTCTGTGTAAAATTTCCACATGGTATTTTTGTGTAGAATAAAGCACATTTGTATTTATGATGGTTATATTTTATAATATGGTCTGTTCTCTGCATGAGACAGTCAAATGTAAATTCGGTGCAGGTAACTCCTTTTTTAAATGATCACAGATGATCTTCTTCAGGGCAAGTCAAAAGTCCCTTTTCTCCTTGAGATCTCTACAGCCTTTGACATATTTGATCATGCTCTTTTGTTGGGTTCACTTCATGGCCTAAGGTTTACTGATTAATTTCTCTGCTGGTTCACATCTCATTTCTCAGAGTGATCATTTAATGTGGTAGAGAGAGGTCATGTATCTTCCTTTTCTTTTCAACTGGGATTCTACAGATTTCTTCTTTGTTGTTTTCTCTTTATACATTATCTTTATGTACTCCTTCCTTTTACCTTTTCACCCTTCATGATATTGCATAGAGCAGCTTTTTATAATGCTCAGTGAGATGGAGAAATGTATGGAAATTGCTGCCTTCCACTTTCCTCTATTAGTAAAAATCTGGACTCATTGTGCATAAGCAGAAGGGCAATATCACATTTTTTCTTCCTTATGACTGTTATGTCTCAATAATGGTTGTATGAAATAGCTCTTTATTAGTACATTTATCACTTGACTATTTATTTACTCTGCCAATTAGGAAATCAAAGTAGATGATTAATGTTCACAGATTTTGAAAGATCTTATCTGCACTGAAAGAGTTGACCAGGTACTAAATTATTCAGCCATTTTCATAATGGATATGATCACAATTTGGTTATAAATTTTGGTTCAGATAAATGTCTTTTGTTTAATGACTGTGTTAGCCAGCTTGACCACATATAAATATAATTGACGTGAAACATGTTTTGCATTAAATTAAGAACAGTCCTGTTAGATGAGACCAACAGGACATCTCCTCCACCATTCTGGTTCTTCAGTGGTCAATGAATACCTATAAACAACTTCATAAGCAATACATATCTATTAAAATCAGTAAACACTGACAGTCCATATCTAGATGCATTTTGGGTGACCTTTGAACTTCAATTTCCACATAAATTTGGAAGAATTAGAACATCATCCCTTCCCTCCTCCTTTCCCAATAAATAAGGATGGAGCCCAAGAGCTAGGGCATTTTTCTTTTTATTTTGTGTTCTAACAGAACTTTAGTTGAACATTGAGTATGTGAACATTTGACAGTTCCTTTACTATTTCTCACACAGCGCTGTTTATAGAAAAGGAATATTTGGGTGGAATGTTTTTGAAGCCAAAAGTGGACTTCTCCAATTATTTTGTGTCTGTCTCTCTCACACAATCAATTTATTTTTCATTTGTTTGTTTTTATTTAATAATTTGACAAAGCATTATAAAAATCTTTGCTTAAAGTAGTGTGAATATCAAACAGTATCCATCAATCCCTGAATCATGCTATTCAAAGTGCTTAAATCTACATGGAAAATAGAAGAAAATAAGAATTATTGTTGGAACTTTTTTTTAAAGGAAGAAAAAAAAACCATCTTGCTAATATCTACCATCTGATTGTAGTCAGATTACAATGTTTTCCACTTACTGCACAATCCAGATTTAACTGGTGAAATATCTGGAAGTGAAATTCTGAGATCTGGAATCTTGTCTAAAGGCCATTAAGGAATGCCTGGCAGGTGTATATAATAAATAACTATCACCTTAATTTTAAAAGAATCAACTGTGCAAAGTGGCTTTCATATTGTTCCAGTCTTGGCAGCTTTATTTGCTTGGTGTGAATTATTTGGCACATGTGTCCTGGGAGGTTTTTTTAAGGATGGGAGAAAAGGTGAGCACAATTGACAAATTTAATAGGTTATTAGAAAAGGACCTGAGGATTTTTCACAGAAATAAATATTAGGTAAATAAAAGTTAGTGCATATCCTAGATATCTTTGTTCCTTGTTTGCAGATGTTTCTTTTTCTTGCCAGTTGCAGCATGGGATTGGTTATTCATCAAGTACATAGTCCACACACATTCCTAGAGGGTAGGTTACACATTATTTTACCATATTCTGTTTTAACTAAACCAAAAATATCAATGAACTTTTTAAAAGGTTGGCAAGTAGTGCAAAACACATAGTATCAATTAGAGTGGTTATAAATGTTCAGCTGTTTAGTCTTTTCAAATAGATGTTGCCAGTGGATTTTGTTGACATTCTCCTCTGAACATTAATGTTCTACTGCATCAGTTTTCACTTTTAGAAATATGCTCCCAAGATTATATTGATATATTAATCTAATACTCTAATATTATTCCTTGGATGTTCTTATATGAAAGATAGCTGCTTCACCAGTTTGTGCAGTTATTAATGCAGATTGTGTTAGCACTAAGTAAAATAAGAATTATTTTTTGACTCTGTTAATGTTGTTGACAAACTCTCATTGCACTGAGTATAGGCAAAATTCACTCCTGAGCTTGAAGCAAAGAATAATTCCCAAAGCCAAGATGCATGCTGCTTCTGCAACTTTTTAAAGATGAAATCATACATTTAAAATAAAACTAGTTTATTTTATTCAATAACATTAATTGTTTCCAACATTTCTGGGTCTGATTTAAATATTAATCTTGTATAAAATATTGATGTTTGTTGGTATTTACTTTTGCAACCTCCTGAGATCTCTGTTAAACAACCTTAGAATTTAAAATAACTTCTAAATCATTATTACAAGCTTTTAAAAAATAAAAATAAAAATGAATAAAAAAGAATACTAAGTTCTCATACCCTCCAACTCTCCTGATTTTTTTCAGGGTCATTAACAAAGAATTCTCTGTCATCCCACTTTTTGAGCTTCTTATAAAATGTCCCAGTTTCTGTCTCTTCCTCTCACTTTCCTCCCTTTTCACCAGCTTGTTTCAGTTGTTGAAATTTGAGTTCAAAGTGCCCAAAGTAATTTGCACTCAGCACAGCAGGGGAAGAGAGAGGAATCTTGCCCTTCCCAGTATACGCAGGCAAAAGCAAACTGTTGCATCCTCTCCAGGTGAGTATGCTTTCCTCATTAATAACCTTTGATATCTTGACCACACTGTGATTCTTGGCCACATATGTCCCAGTTTTTACCTGTGAAATATTGGAGGGTATGAGTTCTGGATGTATCTGTGAAAAGAAAAGTTGATGACCAAATTTTAATATACATGAGGACTCAAAAATTGGCTGCAAACAAGTATTCTCATACTTCTTAATAGACAGCATTTCTTTTTCTAATACAATGTGACAAACTATATTAGATTCTGTCCTTCTGCTTTCCTTTGGTTTGGAAGCCATCACCATAAATCTCTGTGGGATTTAGTGCACTTCAGTGCCTATTGCCTTCCTTGTCTGACAAATGTAAATAATCCCATTTGAAGAATTTAAAGCAAGAAAAGAAAGCAATGAAACCCCCACAAAAGGAGGGTGGGAAGAGTCACAAACACATCCAACACTTTCTCAGGAAGTGAATGAATCTGAGTCAACATGTTTCTCTCTATATAAAGAATACAGTCAACTCATAAAATAAAATCAGAAACTCCTATTTTCTTTCTACATCTTCCATAGTGGTCATAGTGGTTATTGTGAAGCAAGTGATACAGACTGGGGATTTTTATTTATTTGTTTTCCCACAACTATTTACTATGTGAAATGTTAGACAATTAGACCATCTGTAATTTCACTCAGTGTGGTGTGATAAAAAAGGTGAGGTAAAGGGATAGGGGTTGCAGTGGGAGAATAAATGAGGAAAGGGCTATGAATTTTCCATAGGGTCCTCCTAAGAACAAGTGCTCACACTCACTCACTCACATGCACACACATTGGTGAATTCCTGCAAACATAGCCTCTGGATATCAGGTAGGCAGACCAACAAAACAGATAATGCCTCTGGATTCGACAGAATTTTGTCCAAGCATTCCAAGAAATGTTAAAAATAAAATTCAAACAACTCAAACTATACTAATGAAGCAAAAGGTATTTTTTTCCTATACAGCAGTCTCTTCATTCCCCTCTTTTGTTTAAAAAATGTAAATATACAAATCCCAATGACATATAAAACAAAGTCAAAATGTGAATGGCAAGAGACATGGGTAAAACAGGAAGACTGATGCTACAAAGGAATTTGCAAAAAACATATGTACAAGACCCTGTTTTTCCTCATATTTCATAGATTGTAATGCATGTTTAACAGCAGCAGTCGAGGATGTAGTTCCAGGCACCAGACTGCAGACTTCATTTCTACACAAGGGGGCCAAATTCCCCCTTACACTGATGTCACCAAATGACACTTGAGATACTGGTTTCCCGTGGTAAGAGTGGCAGGATTGCACTGTTTGTATGAGCCTCGTCAGGATTCGGCTCTCGGTTAGTTTTTGTCTGTGGCCTCTGCCCATTAATAAGTGTCATAGGGATGTTGCAGTAAGTATGCTGGTTACCTATTGAGGTAAGAGGCAGGGTGCCAGTAGGAGGTACGTCGTATTCATAGCTTCGGTAATAGTGTTTCTGGCGCATCTGGGAATGGTATGTGTTATGAAAGGTGGAGCGCAAGTCAGGATGGGCAGTGGCAAGAGCAGTAGAGGTAGCAGCAGCCATGGAAATTGCTGAGACCGTCTGCAGTTCCCCAAAGGGCCCCTGCTCACTAACATCTAAAACCTGCTCATGTGTGATGGGTTCTATCCTCTTAAAAGGCATTTCGTACTGTAAACGTTTCCAGAATTTGGAATTCAACTTGTTGCATTTTGGGCCATGCCATTTAATAACAGTTAAGAGCTTGATGGTATGCTTCAGGGCCTCAACCTCCTGGTAGTTCATAATCCCCCGGAGTTCACTGCATTCAATCAGGATCACTTTAATTTCGCCTGTAACCAACATGTTTCTAAGTCTTGTTTCCAGTTCAAAGATACTCCAGCCTCTTCTCACCACATAATTTGGAGTCATGACAATAATCAATCGCTTGCTTTGGTCTACACATCTCGCCACATCTTCTATGTATGCTGCAAAGCAAAAGAGCAATTTAGAATCAGCTAAAACACAAACCTGAAGTTGCAAAAGGTGTCCAGAAATTGCAGATAAGTTCTTTTAACTTGTGCATGAAAATAATTGTAAGTATCCTATGAGCTCATCAGATGGGGTTAGAATCGGTGGCCTGCTCCACTTCGCCTTCTCTTTAAACACGGAGCCTGCTGGCTCCCATTACATGACACACAGTTACTTCCATTGAGGCTATGTGCTTAAAGGGGAAGTGGAGCATGCCGCCATGGTGGCAACACGGGAGGCTTCCTGTGTTCCACCAGAAACAATGGGGGGAAGCCAGAGATAGATGCTTGAGATGGTAACTTGGGTAAGTCGGGTGATGTGGGGTAACAGGTTCCCCATGTCCCCTGATGTGCACTGCCAGAATCACCAAGAGATCCCTAGTCAATGTTGCAAATAACTTCTCACCTGCTCATCTATGGCATCTAAAATGTTTCCCTGGTGAGGTCCTATTCTTGATTCTTGTAATAGGAAGTGAAATTGTTGCCTCAGGAACTTTTTGGAAGGAGCTGATGATCCTTGCATATTTTATAAAGAGGATACACTCACTTCATAATACTTAAGGGACTACTTCTAAGCTGCCTTCTGAGTCTCTTTTATTTTTAGTACAGGACAAAGGTTGATTTGGAGAACTTTATTGTTACCTCCAAGGCGAAGTCAATTTGATCCTTCCTAAGCAAGAGGGGAAAGAGCCTGCCCAACATCCTCCACAATTTAAATTCTCCAACAAGGTCATAGAAGTTTTATGCATTGTAATGATGAATTCAATTTGATCTATCAATGCATCACCTCCCCTGCTCTTATGAGATGAAATATAGCCTCTGGAGTATGAATGGCAGTGCCAGCAGGATGTAAAGGTAAAGGGGCATTAAACATTATATTCAAGGTTGATTCTAAGTATGTTCCAAGAGAATATTTTCTATTTTGCTAACATCGTCAACTGTGGCCTACAGGCTACATATAGTTTGCAAAGGTCCTTTCAAGGCCCGGAAATGAAATTTTGGTCCTGAAATAGGGAATTGAACCTTCAAAAGCTCCCTGAAGGTTCAGAAGCCTTCAGAATGTTTGGGATACCTTTTCATTTACCATTTTAAAGTCACTAATTTTGACAGGTGAGACCTTCTCAAAGAATCCAAAGGTTTAATAAATGGAGTGTGTGGAGCCCTGTGCCTGCCCATCCTTGTTCTGACCACCTCAACAATAAATTATTTCCTTAGATATTAACATTAATTCAGAGGCTTTTTGACATCTTTTTTGTAATGTTCTTAGTGGGCTGTATTACTTTATAATGTAGGTAGGGGCCCACAGAAACAAGTGCCCTCACATCTTCTGTTCCATAGAAGATTGTTTCTAGTTCAACTTTTACATACTTTTCTTCTATCTACATTGTTGTTCCTCCTGTTTTTGCTTCTGTTATGTGGAGGAACATTAAACATAAGAGAAAGCTTCTATCGTCTGAAGTAGCCCATAAATAGCCTCTGAGCAGGACATTTTTAAAGCTCATGAAGCTCTATGCAAGTGACTAATCATTTTACAGAAAATATACAGATAATCAAACAAAATGAACAAGCGAAGATCTGTGAAAGGGAAAACACAGTTGCTTTCAATTAATATTAATTGTATGGCAATCTGTTTTGACTGTTCGTAGGCTGATGATTCTCTTTGGATTCCTTTTTAAATCCTTTGATTTCTAATTGAAATCTGTTTAAAACAGGGGTCCCCACACTCTGCAGGCTGGATGTGACCCCTTGAGCTAATTTACATAGCCTCCACTCTAAACTTTAGACTTAGGGTTGCCCTAAGTCTGAAACAACTTAAAGGCACACAATGACAACAATTGTAATTAATTTTACTATCCCATCAGTTAAAAGCAGGACCACACTTCCCATTGAAATACTGGTAAGTTTAGGTAGGTTAAACTTATTCTTCATTTTAATGTTGTATTGTTTTTTCAAATTTTTTGGCACTACGAATAAGATATGTGCAGTATGCATAGGAATTAGTTCATTTTTTTTCAAACTTTAGCCTAGCCGTCCAATAGTCTGAGTGCCTTTAATATATCCATTGATGGTTTGAAATATTTGAAATATCAGGGGATTCCATTGCAAAATCATCCGGGCATCATTTCAGATTACTGAGGTCAAACTATGTCTATATTTCATTGTCATTTTCATGGGTGCAAGGTGCTTTCAATTTGATTTAGAAGTCCTGAACAATTGTACCAAATGCTCATACAGATCTTCCATTCTTAATAATGTATTTGAATTTGCAAAGTTCTACCTTGACTGGATATGAGGGAAAACAAGGCTGTAATGGGCAGAATATAAACATTTTCTGAACAGAAAATACATTTCTTGCAATTGGGGTTTTCTATGCTGAAAACATGTTATTTCTTTACAAAAACATATGTGCTCTTTTCATCATTCCATTCAAGTTCATAGAAACTGAGCTGCAAATGTTGTGTAATTGGGCACATGGGTGCATATTTCCAGTTAAGGCAAAACCTCATTCTGCTGTGCATCCAGTTGTGGATAAGGTTGTACTACATTGCCATTCAATGCAAGGTTTGCATAGCACAATTGATGCAGAACTCTATGCACATAATAGGCTTTGAACTCTATATTGAAAATTAATAGCACTATGAACTTTACTACAATGTTCAACAGGATCTTGTAGCACCTTAAACTACAAGAAAGGAATGGGTAGCATAAGCCTACATAGACTAATTCTACTTCCTCAAGTGCCTAGAAAGAGGCTATATAAGGCTGATTGTGTGTGTGAATAGAAATGCAAAATCTGTGGGTATGATGATGAGGTGATTTTAATTATGGATTATAGAAGGAAAAATGCTTCTAGGCCTCAAGGGTTCTGGATTAAGGCCTCTATTTACTTACAGCTACAGCTGTGACCAACAGTGCAGCAGAATTTGAAGAGGCACGAATGGAGGGCGAAAGAGAGAAATGTGCCAAGAGGAAGGCACGTCAAGCCAACCCCGACCGGGACCGCCGTTCACCTGGAAACCAATGCCCTCACTGCGGGAGATGTTGTAGATCAAGAATAGGGCTCCATAGTCACCTACGGACCCACCCTGGAGGATTATCTCAATGTCAAATGGTTATCTAGTGGATGTCATGAAACATGGATGGGGCCAATGAAAACTTTTACTACTAGTGTCTTTTTCTCGGATCTACACTTCTCAATATTCCAGGATCAGACTCCCAGATTATTTGCTTATTCCATATTATCTTTCAGTGTATACTCTTATAATCCAGTTCAAAGCAGATAATCTGGAATCAGATATTTGGATATAGGACAATATAGAGCCAGCCTCAGTCTTCAAGGTGATATCGGATGATTTTGCATACTGGTATTGCAGGATAACATGGCCATGTGCTTGAATTTTACTACAACGTATCATGAAGCAATGTAAAAATATAAACATTCACATATGCTTTTGTGTGTTGCATGTTAATATGGATTTCCAGTATACCATACGTAAGAAATTAAAACTTACTTCCAGTTGGAATCAGATCTCTATCTGGAATGAACAATTTGTATCCATAATGTTTTTCAAGCATATCTGGTAAGATCTCAAGAGCAAATCGTTCTTCTTCTCCAGTTTCTTGATTCCATTGGTCAGGGTCCACTTTGGTGTATGACAGGTATGCATCATAATCTTTATTATCTGTAAATATGAAAGGGAGGGGAAGAAAAGCAGAAGAAAGGAAGTATATTGACTTGATCTTCCCATAAACATTTACTCATTTCCTCTTCTCCAATTCACCAAGCCTCTTCTACTATACTTTTTCCCCCCACTTACCCTCTTTTGCCAAATTTATGCCTGGCTTTTCTGTTTAATCATATGTGTAGCTATTTAAAAGAAGGCTAAAAGCATGTTTGAAATGTGAATAATTTACCAGCACTGATATTTTCAATTCTAAAGTGAACTTTTTTTCCTATGTAAACATTAGGGTTGAATAGGTTCATTCAGAAATAACTGAAATTTGAAAAAAAAACCCATATGAATTTGTACATCCGATGTGATTTTGAACCATGCAGGAAAGGGGGGGGGGGGGATCCGAATTTGAACCACTTACATTTTTTGGAAAATTTTCTATAATGTTCGGATGTCTCCCATGGTTGTTTTAATTTTCACAAGCATTAAGCAACTTTGGTAAAGGCAATGGAATTTTTAAAATCTCATGCTTTCCGCTGGTGGTGCAAGAGAAGCTGTGGGTGTGGCTAATCACAGCCAACGTAACTGTAGCTTGGGAAGGCCAGGCCCCCAATAATAGAGATTGCAAAAGGTCTTGCTGTTAAACTACACTTCCCACAATGCATGGCTGCTCATTAGCCAAAATGGCTGAAGGACCCAAAAATAGCTGTTTGTAGCAGTCTTCGTCTAAATATAAAATAGATTGATTGAATCTACAAAGCAGTCTAAAGAAGGCAGCAAAGCAATAAGCAACTTTTGCAAAGCCAAGAGAACATAAACTGCTCAAAAAACCAATCCTTTTACTTTGGCCTGATTGCCATGAACAAGGCACTGGAGTAGCCAGCCAGCCCTTTACAGTCAATAAGTAATGATAAAATGATTGATTGCATCTGCAAAAAGGAATAAGATGGAGGTCCCCTCCAACACAGCAGAATTCCAAGGGTTCCCTCCAATTCCAGCAGAATTTTGTTGTCCATAGAGTTGAATGATTTTCACCCCTCCACCAAATCACAGCCCTTTTTTGAGTTGTGCATAGAGGATCTCAAAACTTATTTCAACCTGAAATCTTTCATCTGAGAAAATTGTCACACCTCAGAGTAGAACCACCTTGCTTAAGACACCAAAAAACACACCAGCAGTTGTATTTGTAGTTTTATTTAGAATAAAAGATAAAAAGTTCAAAAAGCAAAAGTATTTTTTGAAAGATCAATCCAAGGTAACATAGGCAAGCTAGATCCATGAAGGCACAGGGAAGGCAAAGTCCCATAAGTATAAGGTAAAGTCCTAAAACATGAATATGGAAGGCTACAAGATAAATCCCAAAGGATCTTGGTTAATGCATGAAGTTGCTCTGACACTGAGGCACATTCAACCAGACCATTAATACCCTTGGGCCAGCATGAAGGCTTTCCTATGGCCTCGGGCGTCTCTCTCTCGCCTCCCGGCGATCCTGACACTCCTTCGCACTTTCAATTCCAAGCGATCAGCCCTATCTAACTCACTGGCCCCATTGAGATCAAATCCCCCGTTAGCTGGCTGAGAACTATCCTCCCTAATTCCTTCATCAGGCACCTGACATTCAGTCTCAGTAGTTTCACTTTCCTCATCGTCAACCCTTGCTGTGGGAAACAACTGAACTCCTGCCCCCTGATCCTGGTCTTCCTCGTATAACACAGGCACATCCTTGCTTTGCATCTGACACTGAATCTAAATCTCATCATCCCCATCAGAATCATCGACAACATCACTCTGTGATTCCAGCTGAGTCACAAGAAAAATTCAGTTCTTTTGTGTGAATTACTTTGTATCACCACTCATGTTTTTTACCCACTAAAGATTTGTATAGACATCCATGCATTTCAGCAGAAAGCATGCTCAAAATAAATGAAATTAGGATATTTATTTATTTAGGATGGGAAGGTGGGAAGAAAGGCTTTAGCTCTGGTCTGTAAGTTAAAGTCAACTGAGAAATATTTCCTAAAATATGCATGTTTAATATGTTCTAACATTCAAGTCATATGATCTCATCATGTGTGGAAAAATAAGCAGGCCTAAGACACTTCTACCCCATTTCACTCACAGAGCCCCACACCACCCATTGGACGATGTAGGCTGACATCTGGTGGGGCTCAGTGGGTGAAAAGGGACAACAGTGTGGTAGGACGTTGCACCGCCAACACGCTAGCCTCTTCATCTTTCACTAGGAACAACAGGATTAAGCCGTGTGGTGGTGCTTCCCCACATGTGATGGAGAAGTGTCAGCTGCCTGCCGGGGCACTGGGATTGCTCCGCTGCTGCCCTGATTCACCACAGAGGCTAGTGAATTGCTACACTAGACCTCAACCATGTGATGAGGCCCTTAATGAGATTCAGAATTTTTGTCATTTTTAGACCTGAAACATGCTTTCCAACTGTCCTGATATGCCAGGAACACCTGATTAATCCTGTGTAGTCCCACTCTTTCAGATGATTTTGTCTTTCCTTTTTCCACCTTCCTTCTTCATCTTAGCTCACTTCAATTGTTGCAAATGGAGTACATGGTGCAAAAGTAGCTTGTGGTAAGGCCCCATCTGTACTGCTATTATAATGCAGACTGAACTGGATTATATTGCAGTGTAGGCTCATATAATCCAGTTCAATACAATTCAAACTGCATTATAAACTGCATAAAGGTAACTTTTTTCCAGAATGACCAAAACCATTTTTTCTGGTATAGTCTTTACCTAAATACTGTATCACTGTATGTAAGTGTGTGGCCTAGAATGGTAGTTTATAAATATTTTAATAGATTTTTTTAAAAAAATGTATATTTAAGGTTGTTTTTAAATGAACCCAATGTGCTTCATTAAGGTGTTTTTATTTTGTTTTGAACATAATGTGAATCCAGTGCCCTTACATGTATGATGGAATGAAATAAGTCATCATTAATTTTCATTAAGGGGTCAATAATGTCAAGTGCTCTAGACCTAATTCAGTGAAAGAAGAGATCCCTTTTTATTTTTGTTGCAAAGAAGGTAGGGAGAAATCAATGGCAAGAGTAATGAAATGTTAACAGCTATCTAACTTTCTAGACAGCATTATGTACAGGTTATATAGAATATCAATTGCTTGTAAAAGAGGCCTGATTGAATATCCTACTGTGCACCATACATAATGTTATAGTGATTCAGTGCTGAATTTGGCTGTTTACTAACAGAACATCCTTGCCTCACTTCGCTGCTTTTTACATATCAGATGCAATGGATTTTTTTTAAAAAAATGAACCAACTTTAACAGTGCTACTGACACTTCCTGATATGAAAAATGGCACATGAGCCCTGTAGATGCTATTGTATGAAGGCAAAGAGTGTCTCTGTGTGTAGCAAATGTAAATAACCAGGTGTTTAAAGCCTGTTTGAAAATACATAAGAAGTGGCTTAGCAAACTTCCACTGGCAAGGAATTCTAGAGTGAAACAATGACTGAAAAGGGTCTCTTATCTGTGAATGCCAGTTTGGTGGAATTTTTGATAAGACTGAGAAGCAAAAGAAGCAGAAACTGATGGGTCTCCAATGAAATCTGCAATGTGACTAATAAATGACTATTTGTCAAGTGAATGGTTTGAGAGTTCCTGGTCCAGAGAATTGTTGAAGTTAATATTTAAGAACCTGCTGAAGATGGCCTTAAGGTGCATAGTCCAAAACACATTAGACTTTTTAAAACTAATGATACTTATAAGCATCTTTAGACATGTTTCCACTTTTTTTCAGGTAGAATTTTAGATATGATCATTCAACTATTTTTCCTAATATTTATGAAATCTCCTTTTTTGTAATTTCAGTCCTCTAGTTTACATTCTGTCCTTTGGATCAGAAGAAAAAAACCTTCTTTATTTTGTTTTATATGGCAGCTCTTTAGAAATTTGAAAATAGCTAGATCTTCCAGCAGGATTTTGAAAATGATTAGTTGCTAGGTCCAGTTCCCAGGTAATGAGATAGTACTCTGTCCTGCACTTCATTCACTCCCCTGGCCCTGTGATTTGCTACTTGCATTATCCCATGCCCAGCCTTTTTATAGTTGGCCCACATCCACGTAGTAACCTTGGTTTTTGTTTTCTTTTTCTGAACCTCCACTGATGGAGCTACAATGAAATGGGTTTTTAATATTTTCATCTGTAATGTGTTTTAGCAGAATTCTCTCTCTTTTTTGTATTTTATGATGTTTTTAGTTGTTGTTATTTTGTCTATTAAGTTCATTAGGTTGTGTTATATTGTTTTTTTTTATTGATATTTTTATACAGTTTTTCTTTACAACGAAAGAGGGGGAACAATCATTGTGATAGAAAGTCACAGAATTTAGACAGATTGTGAAGGACAGAATTGTGGGTGGGTATGGGTGGGGAAGGGAGGGGGATGGGAAGATAGTGGGAGGGGTTGTTGGGGTAGGGGTATACACACATGTATATACAACTTCCGTTCAGTCCACAGAGGGTAGTTATTTGTTTCCTTTATTCTTTTGCCTTCTTCTCGTAATTTTTTTTTCTTTCCCCATAGAAATTTATATGTCCAGTTTGATTTTTCCTTTTAAGTATTCTTTAAGGTATTTCCAATTTGTTTGTTTGTTCTTATTCTGCTCATCTAGTAAGCACGATAGGCTATCACAATTCCTGTAGTCTATTATCTTCTTTATCCATTCTTCCTTGGAGGGAATCTCTTTACTTTTCCATTTTTGCGCTATTAGTATTCTGGCCGCCGATGATAAATAGAAAAAAAAAATTTCTTCATTTTTCCCTAGCCCGATTTCCATTATATTTAGTAGGTAGTATTCAGGTTTCATGTCAAATTTCGTTTTTATAATGATTTGTGTATGTTTGTGTATCATTTTCCAGAAAGCTTTTATTTTTTTGCAGCTCCAATACATATGAAAATAAGTGCCAGCTTCTTTTCCGCACCTCCAGCATCGATTATTAGGGTTTTTGCTAAACTTGGCTAG